AGTATAGCCTACTTATTCATATGAATAACCCGAATTATCAGAATCATCATCTGCTTCTTTATCTAAATTATCATCTCAATCTAATTTTGGCATCACAAATCTAGTAGCAGGCTTTAATTTCGAATAAACTTTTTCATCCATTATTATATTATCATTAAAGCAGTCAACCCCCAAATCAGAAGCAATAGCATAAATTACTTTATCTATTGCGCTTGTTTTGAAATTTATCATACTTCCTACAATATTAACAATAACATTTCTACCAATGAAATAGTTATTTCTATCACTATTATTATAATCAACTGACGAGATACATTTTACTATCTGCTTTTTATCGGATGTATATATAATTCTTCCGCATGAAAATAGATAATATAGATCGAATTGTTTAAGCTTAATTAGAGCAAAATTAAAAGATATAATAGAGTATAGAGTTTCCTTTCCACATAGCGTACTCTTTAATTTATCCGCTTTGTATATAATGAAACTAAAAATTTCACTTAAATTGGTGGCAGCAGGATGCAATTTGCATTTCATTTCTGGATTACACATCGAATTAATACACTTTTTTACCAAATAATCGTGGTTAGATGACATATCCATATATTCAGCAGTTATTTTATCAAAATTAAAATTAATAGTTAATTCTCTCACAATTGAAGGAGTAGTGGAGATGCTTATATGCAATTTCCCAAATATATCAGATTCATGGTTTTTAAGTGTGCCTATTCTAAGATCTGTGTCTGTCGATACTTCCATTTTTTTATTGAATGAAAGCAAGGCCAATATTTTATTAACTAAATTATTAGTATCCGCCATCAGCTTTGAGCTTAAGTTTTTTTCTTCTCTTACTTTTTTAATAAGCTCATTTAGTTCTTCCTTTATGACTTCAAACATATTAGTTATGTCTAAAATAATAGAAAGCATGCTTAGCAAGCCTCCATTACAATACTGAGGTTTAAGGCTAGAATTTGATGAATTCTTATGTGTCAAAGTATTAAACAATTTATACCAATCATAGTGAACACTTAAATCTTCTGTGTCAAATAGGTCTCTGTATTTAGTAAAGAACTGCTTTAATTCTACGGGAGAATTTTCAATTCTTTTAAGAGTGTACTCCATATCTGTGCTGTTATAGAAGCAGCAGCAAAGTAGAGTAAGTATGCTAGTTTCTGTCCCAATAGTAAGCTTTTCTAAACCAGAAAGATATTCTAGGTTAGTAGGAGAGAAATGCATGGATGGGTTGGATGTATTCCTAGAACTAGAAGCCATGCCAGTTAGAGACAATTCATTATTTTTGTAGCAAGTACGTAGAATATCTGGCATGGATAGTTCTCTATGAAAGGGAATAAACACATATTCACTCACACAATTATTAGTACTTTCTATAGTTTTAATGATTTCTGCTTCTATATCTAACAATTCTTTATCTATACGACAGAATATATCTTTAAAAACAGTTATAGCGATCGTTTCTGCAGAATTTAAATATTCTTTTCTTTCTATTGCTTCAACATTTTCTTTTAGTATATTAAATGTTTCTATAAGATATGCTTTCATATCTTCTTTACTGGATATATACTCAAATATATATGTTTGTATAAGCGCGTTGGACATACCTATAGTATGTGTAACCTTTAAATCAGTAATAGGATTGGATATATTTTCTAATTGTTTATCTTTAGCTTCTTTATAGAAATCAACTATATTTTCAGTTTGCGTGTAATAATATTTATCATCTAGCAAGCATGGTTCATTTTCATCCATTTTATTTTTGTAAATTCTATTTCCTAGCTTCAATTCAGTACTAAAGTAATTCTCAGTGCTATATCTAGATGTTTTAAGAACAAGCACGTCATGTTTAGCTTCATTTGTTTTTATTTCTAAAGAAATACCCACTCCCTTAGAAAGTAAAAACAAAGAAGCAAGCAGTCTCAGCCTGTCTTTTTTCTCTGGAATATTATTAAGAAAAGCTAAAAATGAATATTTTTCTTCTGAATAAATTGTTGCTCTTCCATCCACTGTAGGAAACATCTCAATTAAACACCTATAAAATTTCAAATATATATCTGAAGAGCAAGGTTGGTTATTTTCTAAACTACGAATGCCATTCTTATCAGTTGTTTTACTGCATTTATAGACATTATTGCCAGATTCACTAGCTGTAACTTCCATTTTATATTTCATCTCTACTTGACAACCAAACTCGCTTAGGTTATATATTTCACCACGTTTACTATTGATATATAAGTTTGTAGGATGCAAAGAGCTCTGTGGAGATACCATTCTATCCACATCTTTATATGAACCAACAACAATTTTTTTAAATTCTTTTACATCTTTCCACACCATTCTTGCTTTTATATTTGTTATGTATAATAACACTAGACAGTATCTAAAGTACATATAATTTTTGTTTTTGAGTTATATTTATACTTTAAATTTTTGATTTAATTAAACAGCTATTGAATCAAATATAATCATATGATACATTTATATTACAAGGAATCTAAAATTATATTTTTATAAAGAATAAATAAATCAAATTTTAATAAGCTTATATTTATATTACAGGGGCTATCTCTAAGATATTCGGGCTATAAGTGGTTAATAGATGACAAAATAGGGTGAAAAAGATAAAAAAGACGTATGACAGTAAGAATAAAAGGAGCAGCCCAAGATTCTAAGAGGCAAATAGAGACAAAACAATACTAGTTTATGCTGTATGACAAGACTAGTACAAATATAGTAATACAAAAGTTATCTGAATGATTACATAAACAAGTTGATATGAATTAAATTGAATATGCGGTATATAAAGGCGTATTCAAATCTCATTAAAGTGTCTTAATGTGCCTTTTAAAGAATCAACTAATGGCTTATATTATATGATGAACTATATCTAGTGTGGGTACCACGCACTTAGCTATTCGAAGTCATCTAGTGCTATAATATGTAAATGTTTAAAATTTTATATGGCAAGAATAATAAAAAAAGCTGAAGCTAAGTCTGAATTTGGTATACTTCTTATTAATTACATTCTGCTGGGGTTAAAATATTTCCTTAAAATATAGGAGTCCTAAAATTAATTTGTCTGAAAAAAATTTATATTGATTTCCCCCGAAATGGGTATTGTGGTGACACCACCACTCGGGCGGGAGCCCCCGAGGGCGATCCGTCTGCGCGCCAGCTCGCGCGGTGATCCCGCCAAAGCAAAGGCCGGGATCTCTGAATCAGTATATCAACTTCCGACTATTTAACCGGAGCTCTTCCCCCAATTTAGGGGGAGACTCAGGGAAGCATCGACGGCTTAACTTCAGTGCCAGGCCTAACGCAACTGCGCCCGAGGCTCCGTGTCCGCGCAGGCTTGGGCCGCTTTCTAAAGACAATAAAGAGCTCTTCCCTTTCACTCTCTTCTCTCTCTTGGCTACGTAGCAGGGCGGCGGTGGCGTTACTTCTTGTGAGTATGTCACGGGTTATACTATTTTTTAGACATAATAAATAATTCTTTATCTCTTCTATCCTAATATTATATAAATAATCAAAAATAGTTTATATAATATATAATAGAATATGTAATATATTATGAGCACAGAAGTAAATCAAAAAAGTACAAATATATCAGAAGAAAGAGAACTTATTACTAATACAGTAACAAATAATACGCATAATAACCCGAGTAACCCTAAATTAAACATATTTATAAATACAACAGGAAGACTTATCCAGAATGGAGGATTTCTTTATATGTACTTAATATTCTCTAATGGTAATATATATTCATATTTTATTGTTATATTTGTGTATACTCTTATACAGTGTTATACAGTACTATATCAGTACAGTACTGTATTAAATACACATAGTGTAATAAGTAATAAGTACATATCCTATACTGAAAAATTATTAAAAATTAATAATCCTATTATACTATATGTATATATGACATTATATATACTACAATGTGTAATATATTCTAGTATATTTACCATCCACATAGGAATAGATTTGTTTTCTATTATAACTATAATAATAAGAAGTACAACAGAATTAAATTTATTTTATTATACGATTACTTCTGTTATAATTAGTATAATAATAATTATAGGTATAACCCGATATAACCCCAAATTAAATAATACTAATACTGTATGCAGTATATACCTATCTGTATATATTATGTTATTATTATGTATTATAGTATACTTAATGATTATAGATAAGAATTGGATATTTGCCAGTGTGCGGTATAATAATATACAGAATAGTTGGATGTCTGAATTTATTAATGGGATAAGTATTTGTATGTTTAGTATTCCTGTTATACATAATAATATATATACAGAATCAGATATAAATATAAAGTATACTGAATTATGTATAAGTATTGGTGTTAGTATACTGTACGGTATAATTGGTATGTTAGAGTATGTGTTATATGAGTATAGTACATATAAAGGTATAAATGGGAATTTTATGTATGGGGTAAGTGAAGTATTCACTAAGAAATTGAGGTTATCGGAATATTCGGGTAATTGTTTTGGTATAAAGATTATTTTATTAATAATAACGGTATTTGAATTTATTTGGATATTTTTACAGATAAATAATGTACTTAATCATATAAAAAGAGTCAAAGAATTAATCATACCTGAGATATCTTTAAGTGTATCAGAATTTACGGATACGTATATTATACCTTATTTTGATGTGGATTTTTCGACAGTAATGGATATATTAATAAGTACGTGTATATCTGGTATATTTGTTATTATTAGTATTATTACGTATAATAGTGGATTTATTAGTATAATTAAATCATTTGGGATTATATTCTCATTGGCATTTGGTGTGTGTATTCCTGTGTTAATGGAAATAAGTGAAGCGAGAGGATTGTGCTTTTTAAATAATAAGGGAGTACGTGGTAAATTATGTAAGTTATTAAGTGTACTTGTGATATGCTTGGGCATAATGCATATTATATACATAAGTGTGCCTTTATTGGTTTTGGATAGCTCTGGTGATATTATTAGTAATATAACTGATAATGTATAAGTATTCTGTAAAGTACACTGAAATTAATAAAATTACAAAATTATAGAAGTATTCACATATAAAAATATAACTGAAGAGTTTGACAATGAAATAATGAAAATATGGAATGAGTATTCTATGGAATAATTAAAATAATTTATTGCTGCTTACTCCCTGAGACAATAGTTGCATCTATTGAGAGTATGGCTATTGCTGCACTGATAGCTGCATGGCCCATGTGCTTTTTCACCTCTAATGGTTCAATTACATACGATGCGAGAGAATCATCTACACCACTTTCACTGACACCGTAATTAACAAGACCATCTCCATGGGCTTTTCTTAGCATCTGTACGGTTTTAATTGCATCATGACCAAAATTCTTAGCTAACTGGAAGGGAATTGCTTCAAATGCTTCAGAAACTGCTTTAATAACAAACCTTTCGGTTGTACTGCACTCACTTGCTAGTTTTCTTAATCTTCTGCTTATTTCCATTTCGTATGCACCGCCTCCTGCCACAATTTCTTTGGTTGCAACTGTTCTCCTGGTGACTGCCATGGAGTCATGGAGACTTCTCTCAACTTCTGCTAGTATTTCAGCCCCTGGGCCCCTTAGTATAATTGTTGTGGCACTGGATGTTCTTGCATGATTATCACTGTTGTAGAACATATTGTATCTTGTTCTTCCAATCTCTTTCTCTTCGAATAAAGCACAATGTGCAAGAGACTTTTCATTTATAAGAGAAACTGTGCTTACAACTCTCCCACCGAATGCGTGTGTTATTCTGTCAATTTCATTCTCTGGCACTCTACCAGCAGAGAATACTCCATACTTTGCAAAGTACTGAGTGGCATAGTCACCAATGGAGAGCGTGCTTAAAACTACATTAGCACCAGACTGTATAATTTTATCTAGTCTGTCGGTGATTAGTTTCCACTCTGTTGATACAACCTTGGAATACTCTGAGGCGCCTGAAATTCGCATTTCGCTGTTTTCAATTTCACTCTTCCACTCTAGTTCTATTTTCATAACAGCTATTTTTGGATTTACAATTCTCTTTGGCTGCTGCTCATACCCAGCATACGTAAAGCACTTCTCAAATGCTACACCATCGATTATAAAACTGCTTTCAATCGACCCACCACTTACTTTCTTTACGGAAATATCTTTGTCCTCTGTGTTAAGTGTTTTCATTACTAAATCACTGAAGTGTCTCTTGTGGTTGCTGAGTATTTTTGAGTTTAAGCTTGTCTCAGCTAGCATCTGTAACGAATCACTCCCAAAATCAACTAATAACTCCTTTGACATAGAAGATATAACAGCACTAAGCCTGCTTAGCTCTTTCGTTATTAAAGATATACAAGTGCCTTCTTTCACTAATGGTTTGAGCTTTTTAAGTATTGCAGATGAAAATATTACTACACTAGTTGTGCCATCTCCTATGTCCCTGTCCTGTGACTCAGAAACATTCAATAAAACCTGTGCAGCAGGATCTACTATTTCTAGACTCTTCATTATAGTGGCACCATCATTTGTAATAAGCATGGTTTTTCCGTTAAAAAACATTTTATCTAATCCATTAGGTCCCAATGTTGTTTTAAGAATATCTGCGATCTTTTCGCACATTTCTATGTTTCTTATTATCTGATTTTTACCAAATCGAGTGTCTGTCTCTTCCTTAAGAATGAGCACGGGTGTATTATGCGAATATGACATAAAATTTAAAAAAATAAAAGAACTAAATATACTCATAGACCAACCTTATTACACACAGAAAAAAGAAGAGGTTGGCAGAAACAACAGAAACAGCAGAAACCGGTAGAAATTAACAGAAACTTAATAATTAATGAATATGAATGCATTGCATACTATAAAATATTAATATATGTATAAATACAACAAAATATTACACTGTATATAGAAATACTATGTGGCCAAGTACTTATACACAGTAATACACAGAATAGACTGTGTATATAAATTATTACGCACTCTCTATGATTTCTTTATTTATGATTATTTCTCTTATATTACGTCTTCTTCATTGTCATCTGTTTCTTGCTCATCATTGTCATAATAATTCTCCATGTAGTCATTGTCCATTTCTTCATTCTCATTGTCCATTTCATTGTTCTCGCTCTCTTCACTCTCCTCTACTTCACTGTCTATGCTTGTGGTGAATATGTGCTCCTCAGCGGTTCCTGCTTTTTTGTACTTTGAGCCGTGCCCAAACCCACACTCTACTAATTCATTTGGATACTCTTCTGACCCATTCTGCATTGCTGTTATAATATTTACTGTCCCGTCAGTGTCTTTGTTATACTTGTCTGTGTATCTGAACACTGCCTTTTCTTTTTCTCTGTATATACCAAATGTTTTGTATCTGTGGAGCAATCCTTCAATGGTTTTCCTCATTTTGGGAAGGGGTCTTTTTTCCAATGTATTTTTATGGAATCGTATTTATTTGTCTTTTTATTTGCAGAGCAATGAAGAGCGACTTAATGGTTATTCTGGATAACTCACTGTACAGCATAAACAAGGATTACACAAAGGAAAGACTGCAGTGCCAGTTAGATGTAGTTAAGAATATAACAGAGCAAAGATTAAATGAATCAGCAGAGTCAACAGTTGGTGTAATGACACTAGGACGAAGTAAGACCATTAAGATAGTCTCACCCACCTCAAACAAGAACACAATATATTCGTACTTACACTCAATTCAAAGGGATGAGGATATACATGGTGGTAATGCCATGCTTATATCTAGGATGGCATTGAAGTATAGGACTAACCCAAGGCAGAGTATTCTCTTGTTCCTGGGCAGTCCTATAGATGATGATAATCTTATGCTGACAATTGAATCAATTGAAGAGACCTTAAGCAATAATATATTTGTAGGTGTTGTTCTATTCGGCGAGGCATTAGAACATTATACACTCTTTAAAAGTGCAATCACAGAATCAACTGATTTTTCATGTATTCCCATAGAACCCAACCAGTCCTTTATGGAAGGTGTATCTACAGCACTTAAAGAGACCGTTGAGGAGATTGATCCTGAGCTAGAGTTGGCTATTCGTAGATCATTAGAGGATGCATCTACTCCTAACCAGTAATAAATCCATTGTTTTATTTTATGTAATGACTTCTATGCATATTGCATTCTCCGTTAAAATAAATACACAATTCGCCACTGTAATGGATTTGTTTATAAATGCATATGTATACAATTAAAAACAACCCGAAATACGAAATTTAAATATTTCTGAATTCTGTACTTTTAAAAAAAGCGTGAAATATTGCGAAATTCTTCTCAAGGACTGCGAAAATATTCAGAAACATTTTGTAATTTATGCATTTTAGTTTTCTTTACTTTAAAATAGTATTTTATTAATTATCTTGAAGACTTTTCTTTCTTTCCCAAGTAAATAGCAAGTAAAGAGACATCTCCTATCTTGCTTACCTTGAAGGCAATTCCCGGAATATCTCCCTTGGATCTTCCTTTGTTACCGAATCCTTCAACAGTCACGGTGTCGTTGATTTCTATACTGTTAAGCATACCGTCTTTTGGAACATATGCAGTAATTTTCTTTCCACTCTTGATTAGCTGAATTCTGACGGCCTTTCTTACGGCAGAGTTAGGCTGCTTGGCACCAAGACCAATCTTCTCTAGTACAATCCCTTTTGCCTGGGGTGCCCCACCAATTGGGTCACTCAGAACGTTAGTTCCAAAGAGTCTTGCCTTGTATTTGCTGTCAGCCTTTCTGTTTAAATGGCTTCTTTTTTTAAGTAATCCTCCACAGTATAATCCTCGCATGGGGAAGAACAAAAAAGAAAATTAATAAATTTTTCAGTAACAGAATTCTTCAATTCTTTTTATATGCTACAGCTCTATACAACTCAATTATAGGAAGTTCTTCTTTTGTCAGAGGATGCCTTACCATTCTTGAGTAGGTTTCTTTATCTGCAGACATTTCATGATTTAGAAATGAGAGAAAGTCTATGTCAAATATCTTTTTAATGCCTTTGGATGCAAAATGGCTTGTCAGATAATTTAAGTCTATGAGATACTCCTCACATCCCGTAAGTGCTTCTTGTAAGTGAAATTCATATCCTCTTCCAAAGAGTTCATTTTTGTAGAAAGACTTATTTGGGCATACTTTGTATAACGAATTACCAAATGAGCCATCTACTATATTACGAGCGGATCTTCGTGTAATCACTTGCATATCTGGAATAGTTAAAATAAACACTCCTCCTTCCTTTAAATTATTGCACACATTATTTACTGCCTTTTTCACAGAATTTTCATTTGCAAATGCATAATGAAAGCTAAACTGGGCCATAACTAAGTCGGCCTTCTCTTGAATTATAATTTTATTATTTATAAAGTCGGCCTGCAAAAAGTCCGATTTAAATTTATGTGTAAGCGATCTTTTAAGTGCTTCTGCAAGTGACTCCTTGGCAATATCACATCCGTAATAGTGTTTAATATTATGGTGTTTTAATTTTGATAAATCTCCTCCTTTCCCACAGCCCAAGTCCAAAACAACGCTGTTCTCACGTATAAATTTCTGAATTAGTTTTTGTTTTAAGAAATTATTTGCTTCACGCACTCCAATAATCTTTGATGCTTCTCTGCTCTGCACGCCCAGACTCTTTATTTTGTTATAATGATTTGCTACATTATTATTAGACTTTTCCATTTGAAAATATTTTTATGAAAAGAATAAATGGGAAATGGTCTGGTAGCGTCCCAAATGAGCGAATTAAAGAGATTATTCCAGAGCTGAGGAAATATGCTGCCCAGAGAATTGGTGGAAGTGAAACAATTCGGTGTTTAAGAGATTCTCTGAAAGAGGTTGGTCTAAAAGAAAAAAAGAGAAATACTCCATACAGACATCAAAAAGTAGTTAAAACAAGAGAAGCCATAGAGATAGTCAAGACAAGAGAAAATCTCAGAGAGCAAGGTATAATTCTTAAGAAAAAGAAGGAAACCAAACAGGAGAAGATAGAAGCAATGAAGAAAAAAAGAAAGTATAACTAAATAAGAATCTGCCTTTGTGATACATGAAATACCAGATTACACTACTATATATTGAGTAATTCTAAATATTGCTGTATAAATAGACTAAATACAACAAGAAATATTCTTTTTATAATAAAAGAATAAGTCTCCCGTCCCAATATTGCTTATCTGAATTGATATTGTTTTGTATCTACTACTCAGATATTGCAGGGGATAAAAATGTTAAAATTAAATAATTATTAGATTTAATTAAGAATTTTCGAATTATTTCACAGATTTACATAATATATTTATTTAATATCACCTATTTAAGGTATTAATACCAATAAATTCAAATTTTAAAATCTAAAATTAATAGAATGTCCAGACACAATCCGAAATATAAATAAAAGAGCCTCTCAATAAGAAACAACTTTGTTTTGGAATAGGCTGAAAGGGAATAAACAGAAAAAATCTGAAAATAGAAGAAGTAATAATAATAAAATAATCTATTTATATACAATAATATATATTTACAGAAATATCAGGTATTTTATGCTGTATATGGGAACAAATGTATATTTTAAGTTAAGCCGAGTACTACAAAGAAATTCTATTATTTTCTGTTTCAGTGGGTTAATAATATACTATTTGTATCAAGTCATATGAATGTATTAGATATATGAATATTTTTATATAGAATATTGGAATATGTGGGATTATTTGTACTTACTGTATATCCCAATATAACCAAGACATATGAATGAAATTCTCTGTGTGCGGTATATTACAGCAGATATTTTCAATGAAACTACCAGTTGAAAGCAGCCAATTGTATTCTGTAACTATTTAGGAACACTCTTTTTTTCTTTTCACAAACAAATGGCAGAGGTTGGAGAGAATTTCAATACAGTATTAGAGAGCATAGAAAAAGTAAGAACAAAAGAGTTATTATATATGGTATTTAGGTTCCAGGGATCAGATACTTCTAAATACGAGATAAAGGAGTTAAAAGACAACCCAACAGCCTTAGATAAATACACAGTAAAAAAAGAGAATGACCTGCAGGCACAATTTGAGATGTTCAAAAAGCAGGTAAAGGATTATGGATGCTGCTATGCCCTGTTTGATTTTGAGGCGCACCACCAGGACGGAAGTCCACGGTCTGTTCTATTCTTGTTTACATTAATTCCCGACGGATTCACTGTAAAGGAAAAGTTTTTGTACTCCTTCCACCTTCAGCAGTTTGTTGGAAGTCTTAAGACTGCAGTAAAGCTTGTGCAGATAAACCATTATGACGATCTAAACTATGAACATATGAAGCAAATCTGCTTAAATCTTAAGAAAGCATAATAAATAAGGAATTTTAAGTGCCGCATTAATATTTGCTGTATTATACAGTTTTACACTGTCACTGCATATGTATACTACAATATATACACTCACTGCATGCAAGAAAGAATTTTCTGGTATTTATGCAATAAATGCTTATAGATAATTTGTATAATGAAAGGTGCATAGCCTGGGGTTAACTATTCGTAGAGTCTGCTGTGATGTGATTGGTTTCTCAAGTGACCATGGTATTTTATGGATTTATGAAATCATTGGTTTATTTATTTTATCTCTGTATATTCAAGAAACTAGGAGAACTTTTATGGCTAAGAAGAAGGACGCATATAGAGCAAAAGTTGTAGTAATAGGAGATGGTGCGTGCGGTAAGACATGCATGCTGGAAGTTTACAAATCAGGGATATTCCCTAAAGACTATGTTCCTACTATTGTGGATAATTTTGTTATGAAGGAAGTGTTGGATGCAGGAGAGGTTGTACTAACCCTATGGGATACATCTGGGCAGGATGAGTATGATGCACTGCGGCCACTTTCTTACAGCAATGCAAATTTAATTATTATATGCTACTCAATTGAAAAGAAAGACAGGCTAGGGAATATAGAAGAAAAATGGCTGACTGAAATACAGAATCTGTGTAAGAACGTTCCGTACTTTTTAGTTGGCTTAAAGGCAGATATAAGAGACAATGCATCGCCCTCGCAGGCAGAGAAGTATGTGAGCACAGAAGAAGGAAAAGCCCTTGCCCAGAAAATAGGTGCCAAGTATTTTTCAGAGTGCTCTGCACTGACAAAAAAGAACATAAAAGAGACCTTCTCTGAAATAGGAAATTACATCATAAAGCATCAAAAGGAAACATCGTCGCAGAAAGGATTTAAATTTTTCTATTGCTGCTAAAAATAAACATGGATTTATTACGCGCACCATACGGAGTATTAAAATTCGGGGCAGAATATACTACAGAACACACAACATACATAACAAAAGATGGAAAGGTAATTTCACCATTTCATGACATTCCTGCAACAGAAGATGGATTTAAGTTAGTGAATGTGGTGAATGAAATTCCAAGGTTTACCAATGCAAAGAAAGAAATTAACAAAGAGCTTGAGTACAATCCTATAAAGCAGGATGTAAAGAATGGAAATGTAAGATTTGTTAAGAATATGTATCCAATGAAAGGGTACATATGGAACTATGGAGCAATTCCGCAGACATGGGAAAGTACAGAAGTGGCAGACACTAGAACAGGAATCAAAGGAGACAACGATCCAATTGATGCTATTGAGATAGGAGATAGTATTATTCCATCGGGAGAAGTATATAAAGCCAAAGTACTTGGTGCAATTGCCATGATTGATGGAGGAGAGTGTGACTGGAAGATTCTTGTTCTGAACACCGAAGATGAGATGTTTGACAAAATACATTCATTAGAGGACATTGAGAAGTACAAGCCAGGGCTATTAGAAGCAACCAGGGAGTGGTTTAGAAACTACAAAATAGCAGATAAGCCAGATAACTCTGGGAGCAAAAATGAATTTGCCAATGATGAGAAGTACTACACAGCAAAAGAAGCAGTGGAAATAATCAAAGAAACAAATGAGCACTGGAATACATTAATTAAAGAGAAATCGCACACTGGCATATCTCTAATTAATTCTACCTTGGCAGACTCACTCAACTATCAGCCCAATGAGTTCACGCCTTCTGGCCAGCCACATAAGGACGCAGATGCACCAGCAGAGACCAGCAAGTTCTATTATATAAAATGATTTTATGAAATAAAGCTTAAGTGTTGCTATATTATTTATTATTATAAGCATAAAGACTGTCACTAAGCAGCCATTTTTGTGTTTATGTTTATTTTGAATATGACATAACCCGATATAACATAAAACAATATATGTTAGAATATTTTAGCAATCCGAATGACGAGTTCTTTTATTTTATACCATCTAGTAGATGTATTCAGTTTGCTTCTCGGCTAATTTATGTGTGTGTTGTTTTATAAAATTTATGGGCATTTGCTAAAGTATACTGAAATTACTCAATTAAGTAAATTAATGTTTAAGGTAATTAATATTCTAATTATCAGACAAAGTGATTTAAGTAAAATATTTTAGGCTAAAGTAAAAATGAAGGTTCACATCTCTCTGTTGTTTTTGATACAGGCGGTAAAAGTACTATCCAGTCTTTTCCCATATAACTGCACTGTAATGGATGACTACGAAGAGAATCCACAGAGTTTAACGGATGAAGTCCTGTTACATGCAGATATTGAGGACGTCTTAAAGCTCTTGGATATAGATAGAAGAAATATGATTAGTATAAATGAAAGGGTGTGTTCTGATGAAACAGATTCTATAACAGAAAGTAAAAACAGGATAGCACTGGACATATATGGGCAATTAATAGACACGAAAGACCAAATACAAATTTCAGCAGACACTGTCACCATATACCTAAGGCGGCTCCAGGAATTAACAAAAAAAATAAGCGAGTTAAAGAGTATAAAAAGAAGCACTGACCAGAACATAGAACAAGAAATAAAAAGGGTAAATCATGAAGTGCACGAAATAAGCCAATTATTCCAGCTAGAGCTGGAAAATAAAGAACTTCTTCAGAAAGAGAAGATCTCTCAGCTTAGAATGGCTGAAGAATTTAGAAAAATCATAAGACAGCATGCTGAAACTCTACAAATTATTTTAAATAGCAAAAAATATGAAATAACCCGAAATGCACCACCCAAGCCGCCCAGAAAAAGAAAGGAATACATTTTACGGTTTAAGAACAAGTACCTTATTTCTCTCCAGAAAAAAAAGAGTATTCTGCTAAATTCGGTTATTGAAATTTTCTATCAAAAAGCCAGAGAAGATTTGGACAAAGCGACTAGTCAGATAGAAAGCCAGCTCTGCTATCTTTTATTGTATGACTATCAGTGCACTCATATTAATTATAGAGAAAAAGTAAAGAATTTCATAAATACTGTAAAGAGCTATACCATAGAAGAGTGGGATGAGGAGAGATTTTGCAAGGCACTAGACAAAGCATTTCTGTCTCTTTTGATGCTAGATGAGAACATGAGCATGGAAGAGCTAAAAACAGTTCTTGCAATTATTAGTAAGTTGTACGATAAAAACACTACTTATGTTATGTCTCTATGTGAATTTACAGAATGTTTCTACAGTATTTTGAATGTCCACCTGCTTATTAACTGCGGGGCATCAGAAGAGGCGTTTGAGCTAACAAAGACACTATTTAAAAATTTACAGACTTCTATTAATATAAGAAGCACAAGGGACGAAATACATAAAATATGTGAAGTATTCAACAAATTAAACAATTCTTTTATGATGTACAGATACCCCGTGCCGTATTTGCTCACTTGCCATCCTAGAAACCGAGATGACAGCAGGCAGTATTGGAAGTACCATAGAGACAAGTATAGCAGAATACATCAGTTTATGAGTGTGCATGATTCGGCGCATGCCGTGCCAGAAAGCCTGTTATTGATGAATCTCCATCCGCTCATACACATAATGCACGATAAAACTATTCCCATGCGAATAATTGAGCCAGAGGATGATGGGGATGTTAATCTGGATGTGTGCACAGTTGAAATAGGATATGCAGAAGAGGATAGTGTAGTTTATCTGACAGACAATATACAATACAAAGATGCCTGCTATTTCTGTAGTGCCATAACCATAAACATGATCATTGATCCAATTCTGCTAAATGAAGCCAGTATTCTGATAGAGAAGTATGTACATCCCCAAGCAACTGTTTACTTCAAAGGGATGAATTTAAAAGGAAATGAGGCAATTTCTGCATCCAGTGTTCTTTATGACTGCATACATCCACCATCCCCAAACAAGAAGCAGTTTCTTCTTTCCTGTTTATTGGAAAGGCTAAACATGGGAAGAAAGATATTTCTACCACTCTTTTCTTCTCTTTCCGTTATTGCTGCAAGTATTTTTGCTATTCTTATAGACGGTACATTGTTTTTTGCACTTATTCCATTTATAGTCTTCTTTTCTGGCATATTCAGAGCTCTACTTATTAAAATAGGATATGAAACTAAGGCAGTGATATTTGCATTTAATTTGATCAGTGGCTTTATAATCGGTCTTATATCTCTTTACTCAATTGATGTATTATTACGTGCAAGTGATTTAACTGAAAACCTATACTTAATCCAAGTTATATATATAGTGCTAGGTACACTTTCTATTTTGGGAATTCTATCAACATACTCTAAGGCCATAAGGCGATACGCATATTCTTATAAATACACTGTATCCAACCTGTTTAAATATGGATGTTATATTTTGGGCATACTTATGTCTTTGGCAATTCCAGTATGCATGGCAGCTGGATACACTGGACTAGGCCACGTACTAATAGGATGTAATATTCCACTATTTTCAGCAGTGTTTATATACATCGCATGTGCATACGAGAAGATGCATACACAGCTTAAAAGTGATAAGTGGGAAAACTTAGATATAATTGTGCATATTTTAGCATGCATTTCTGCACTTTCTGCATTATACGCATCACAGATTGTTTCAATAGAGTGTGGGCTTCTTGATGCACTTCCAATAATTATAGGACCAAAAAACAGCGCATTATCTATTTTTAAGGATAGAGCTATTTCTTACCACAGCATATTTAATACCGAAAAAACAGAAGAATCACACTCTGCATTAGACAAATTGATTGCACATCTATTTCAGAAGTAACCAACTACATACAGCCCGATTCTTGTTCATAATACATTTCTAATGGGATGCCCCAATATAATAATAATCTATAAATATTTACTTTCTAAGTTTTTTCTATATTTATAAAATAATTACAGAAATAAGTATTGCTTTTTGTACATTTATCTTCTATATTATTATAAAAATATGTAAAGAATAAATTATTTACTAATACTCAGAAATACTTTAAAAATAAAATTTGGAAATAATAATATTCTAAAAATAACCCTGTGAATATAAAATTATATCCAGTGGATTGCTAGAGATTCTTTAATTGTCTGATTTTATTAAATCGGTATTAATTCATATATGAATTATTTTCAATATTTAAACTTTCAGTAATATTTACTGTAAATACCACATTAGAATAATATTTAGTATACTAACACGTACATATAATAAGTATAAACCCATATTTTAGTACAGTATTAGCAGTAATTGTAAAATTATAGGATATTCCTGTAATTATTAACAATTAAATGTTTATGGTGTAGTTGGCAATTCTAGTATTTCTTTTCTTATATAAATTTCTAAGAAACTTATTTAAGAACTTGTGTTATCTGAGGATGAATCTGTTATAGGATTCTCTTCTACTTCTTGAGATAGCAAGTCCTTTATACTAGCGTTTCGTATAATTTGTGTTTCTTGTAAATGCTTCCTTACTTGGTTTATAACGTATTTTGGTGTATTTTTCTCCATTTTTAATCTATTAGCGTTTAAGCAAGAATTTATAGACGTCTTTATTGTTCTTAGTATAGATTCCAACTTTTTTAGACTCTTTATTCCCGCATATGGGCCTAGCTCTTCGCCTTTTTGTGATATAAACTCTTTAAAAATCAATGATTGTTCTGTAAGAGTTTCTATTGCTTTCTTATATTTATCTGAAAAGTCATCTAATTCCTTTTGAGAATAATTATATCCGGCTTCTAATTGATTAAAAATAGTATTAAACTTTTTTAAACATTTTTTAATTGCACTCTTGTTTTTAAACAAGCCAGAAGCCACTTTAAGGTTGTGAGAGAAGTTTTGTATATCTTTCTGGATATGTGTCAACATAAAAATTCTTAACTGCGCTAATAAAACAAGTTTTTCTATTCTTGTATACATATTATGCTTATTAAATTTTGTTCTCCATTTTTTTATGTACTCAGTTACTAAGACGATATCTGGATTTAAAGGCTGCACATTTATGTTCATTCTTTTAAGTTCAGTTTCTGTTTCCTCTAATAAGGTTTCTTTCTTTTTTTCCTTTTCATTCATCAATTTATTAAAAAAGCTAAATAGATATGACTGATTTCTTTTTATAAAATCAGATCTATTTTCTGAATCTGATGTAGATGCCAGTGCCTGCATTATTGTATTAACTTCTGGATTTGATGTGGATGCCAGTGCCTGCATTATTATATTAAATTCTGGATTTGATATAGATGCCTGAGAGATTTCTGCGGTTTGGTCATCATATGCATAAAAGAATAGATTATCAAACAAAGACAGAATCCAATCCGAACTAGCTCCATAAAATACGCATGCTTCGTTTTTATTACAAACACGCACTCTATTAGAATTATAAAATCTAGATAACGCATTGCTTATCTTCTTGGTATATTCATTCTTTATAGAAAAAACGTTAGTATCTTCTTGAGACTCTACACGCTTCTCTATACGACAAATATAGTTATCCACTAAATTAGTGTTATTCTTTATGCTTTCATCATCGCTATATTGAAAAATATTTTCTACCTGGAAAAGGCCTATTGAATTTTCTGAATTTTCTGAAGTTTTCATGCTCTTTAGAATATCATTTTTAAGCGCCGGCAGTATTTCTGTATATAGTTCATGATTTTTCTGTTTGTTAATATATTCTTTATATTCTTTTTTATATTCTTTTCTGTATTCTTTTAATTCCAAACCCTCTTTTATAAGTGCGCTTTCTATTTCTGAATCTAGCTCTATGTAAGATATTTCTAGTATTGGTTGGTATAAAATTTCTAAATTCTTTCTTTTTATAGATTTAAGCATAATATTCAACATTGTCACATTATGCATGTATACTGTATTCGGATCCTTTTCTGAGTTATCAGAATTAGATATATATATAGCATGATTCACATCAAAGATAGTTGGATCATCCACCAGATAGTTTATCCTTCTACCCTTTGTTAGTAGATCTACCGCTATTATTAAAATGCTATTTATAAGAGTCTTCACTTCATCGTGCATAGAAGGTGACTCTATTGCTTTAATTTTGTCTATTTTTTTTAAAGTCTCCAAATACTCACTATAAAGCTTAGAATTCTCTAATACTCCTAAGGAGCTGTAACTATTTAGTTCATCTGCAATTATTTTGCTTTGCTTAGATTCTAGTAGTTTTGTGTACAGTTCTATCTCTTTATCTGGGCCTATTAACTCATCTGTGCTAGGATCTTCTATCAACAGTTCGCTATATACTTCATTCTGTTTTTCTCGGTAGGCGGCCTCCTCTGCTTCTTTTTCTTCTTTGTAATCAGAGTCACAAAAACTGCTTATATCATTATACGTATATTCTTCATCATCTAAGTTGTTTTCGGATGTGTTTCTTGGATTTATATGATAATTTTTTCTTGCTATGTGCATTATCACGCCGGGAACCATTATTTCTTTTCTTTCTGTGTCTACCACTGGCGGGGTTATATAATGATCGGATGTGTCGGCACTGCAATTCAAGTTTTGGATTTTGCTCATTTTAGCTGGTTTAATAACTACTGGTGGAATATTACTGTATGTTGGTATTTCTATAAGGAATTGTGTAGTCTCTCTATGGTTGGCCTCTTCTGAGAGTATTTCCTGAATAAACCTATCTGATACATTTAAATCATTATTGATGCGTAGAGGAACTTCTTGCCTTTCTTCCAGCGAACTATCAAACAGCGCTAGTAGTTTTGCCATACGGGCTTGACTATTCTCAGTGGATATTTTCCAAGGATAGTATAACTCACCCTCTCGTGCCACTCCCACTTGCATTCTGTTATACAAGTAGAACTCATACACGGGAGTTGTATTATAAATTATACTGTCGTAATACTGGAACAAAGAACTGTTGCATTCACAATTTGCTGTTAGCTGCTTTATGCAATTGCATTTTTCTTTTTTATAATCATAGTCCTGCACCAGCGGATTACCAACAACATTTGTTATTGTTGTGTCAGGCCCAGTGCTATCTCTTATTGCTAATATTCTACCATTATCATCTATTGTCGCATTTGCTTCATTATAATCTACTATTCTTAAGTTGTTACTACTACTTCCTGGATTTGAAGATATATTCTCGGGGTTCTTTTTCTTCTCTAATTCCATTATATCCTCCCAGCGCTCTGTGAATAGATTTGTACGCTCACAGCCTTTTGAGAACTGCCTTCCATCTATGTATACAAGCTTTCTATCCAAGGCATCCTTTTTGTATACATTAGACATTACAAGAGTGCTATCTTTATCTATTATGTTTAAAGGAATATGCCCAACATATCTGAACAGTGCATTCCACAGAGTATACTTCTGGCCACTCTCCACAGCCAAATCATAGTCGTCCTCAAGTATCGTGGTATACTCATATGACTTAGTCTTTTGTCTGCAAAGAATACATGTGATGTGGTTGGTCAATGGATATTCATACCTTGCATCATCCAGATTTAGACTTCTGTTTCTGCCTAGATGCTGTGTATTCTGATGATGTGTAGCACAAACATAGCATAGAAGATGCCCACACGGCATAATTACAAGCAATTTTCTTTTTGGCGGTTTTTGTTCTTTTTTGTTTCGCTACTTCTTAGACCAGATCTAGCACTTAATCCATTATATGCTACTTTTCCATGCAATACATTCTGAAGTATCGCATAAACATCCCGACTGCACCCCTCAACCCAATCAGCAGGAGGATTTCTCTTTATATGTTCTTTATATGCATCATATGTTTTATTCTTCATGCTATAAAAAGAGCTCTTTTTCATTCTGCGTGCTTGGTTTCTTTGTTTGGTTTTTAGCGATCTCTTTGGTCTGATTCCAGGCATCTATGCTAGCTTCTTTTAATACAGATGCCAGTGTGCGTGCCATTTTTTCCTCATATATATTTATTAACTGCCTTTCTTTCAGAGTTTTATCTTTCACTAGCCTATTATATTCCCTTAGTGCTGCAGATACATTATTTAAATTAGTTATAATCTTCTGATCCACAGCTTTTATATACTCATAGTTATTTAAGATACGCTTAGCAAGGGCTTTTATCTCGTTTCTATTAATCAAAGTAAAAAAATCAGAATAAAGCATTTCAATTGCGCATTGATTGTGTTTAAGCACCATCTGCTCTATTTGAATTTTTTTAATCAGAACAACAATCCTTTTGATTAATTCGGCATAGTCTTCTTCAAGGTCCTTAGTAACTATTGCAAACTGGCTAAGTATATCTTTTTCTTCTAGGAATACCCACGCAAAGTAATTGCTTTTATAGAATACCGTTCGTGTCGGATTCATTAGAATTTTAAAATAGTTTCGGATTGTATAGTCAATTGAAAGTTTGTCAATATAGGTTTTCCATTCTAGTTTTATATCCCAGCCTGGCAATTTCGTATCTAAAACATCAGCAGTATCTAACTGGGATGAACCCATGGGCTGATTTCTTGAATTATCCCAATGATCGCCTACATCATTATCTGAATGGTGTTCAACTGGACTGATTGGAGTATTTTCCTCAACAAATTGCTCTGTTTCTGGTATAGGTAATAACAAAACACTATCATCTTGGAATACCATGGGCACGATATCTGCTGTGTTTACCTGGAACTCTGTATTGTTTATGCCATCAATATTGCTGTGTTGATTAATGTTAGATTCCAATTCATTGCTCTGATTCTTAGAATATTCTCTTCTGGACTCAATAATTATATCGAGTTTTTGGATTTTATAGAATATTTCATTCGATTTGGCTTTCCTGCTGGGTATTATTTTCGGCATAAGTTCAGCTTTCTTTACTCTAGGCAGTAATAGCTCAAATGGATAGTTTAGTTTCTTTGCTATCTCGTATGAATCATCTGTAAACATATTGAATATGTTGCTTTTAGTATCGTTCATTTTGTCATCTAACTCTTTTATATCAAGAATATCTAGCTTGTTCACATCAGCCAATCTGAAAGCTGGGCTGAACACTTGACTCTCCATCCATGTAATAACTGCAGCTATTGTGGCTGGGTATACCTCTTTCACACTATCAAATATGCACCTATCTGTATTTCTTTCCTCATCTGTGTATTTCCCAGATTGTATATTGCTTATCCAGTCAATATACAAATTTGTCATAATTATTTTGGCTTTCTCTGTAGTGTCATTAGGCAATTTCAGTAATTTTTTTTCATTTCTTTCTTTGAAAACATCCTCCATGACAGAATTCAGTGGTGTAATAAACACAGAAGTAAATAGCTGATTTTGTTCTTCTGCAGTTTTTGGATATTCTGCTGAGTGTTCCTTTATATAATTCAAGAGTTTCTTTCCTGCATAGAAGGCAAGATCGCTTCCTACATCACACAATTCTCCTATCCAGCACTCAATATTAGGCAACTGTCTATTTAGCTCTGGCATATCTAAAACCTTTCTTGTGTTAAGCATTGCAGCCTCTCTGATAATATAGTTTAATTGTTCGGCGTATAGTTCTTCCAGCTCTCTATATAATTATCATCAAGTATGTCAGATAAGAACCACGCAACCTCCCACATATCATCTATCTCTAATTTCTCTAACTTTCGTCTGTTTTTCTCTGTTAGATTAATGTGGTTCAGTAGTTTTTTTGTGATATTTTCTTTTCTGGCAAGAATACGACTTTTTTTTATTTCACTTAGATGTTGACGTGTGTTTTTTTTGAATGGGTGTTCGCCATTTATTTCTAAATTGAACTTATTTATCAATTTATTTTCTGGCATTTTGTATATATCCATGGCTAAATTTAGTATTTTTTCTATGTCGGCTGTTGAAAGGCTGGCTAGTAAATTCTGTGTGTCTATGGCAAATGCAGCATATTCTTCGGCTATTCTGATCTTTTCGTGAAGACTTATTTCTTCCTTAGATCGGGAATTCATGCTTGGCTTGTATTTTTCTAGTTTTAAAAGGACTTTTTTTAGATTCTCTGCGTGTGTTTTGCTTATTTCTATATTTTCTTTTATAAGAGAAGAAGACTGGCAAATCGGGCAATTGTAGGAATCTTCTATACAATCTAATTCAACAATCTGCAGTGGGGACTTTACTTGGTTTAGTGCCATTAGCCTAGTGTACATCTGTCTTAAAGTAGGATTTTCTGTGTAGTTCTTGTACGTTTCTAGCTCTCCTGCCATTAACCTGCCGTATAAATACCTTCTGAGTGTACTATTACTAATAACCATCCTGGGAATTATACTGCTCTGATCAACGACATTTGAGAGGCCAGTAAAGTAAAATTTTGGTATGTCTAGCATAGTATAAGGCACTCTAGTAAGTTTGCTTAAATCTTCCATTACTACTTCATAACTTACTTCCAAATTAATTGCCTGCACAATTATCTTCACATATTTCAGATAGTCTATTATGCCTTTCTTTGATTTTGCCTCATAGAACTCAGTGAGTTTCTGCAAATACACTTTGTAGTTTTCTTTATCACAGACCTCCCTTATTCCCAATGCCACTGTAAAGTTTCTACAATGCGTAGGAACCAAGCTCATCAAAGTATGATGCAAACTGTATAAAAATTCTGTGCACAAATCATTCTCACTCGGAAACATAAACTCTAGAAGGAAATTGTCTATTCTGATGGTTGATGAATTTTTCTCAAGTAAGTCATTCTTATTATCTGTTGTCTGCCCACTAGTGCTTGATACACCACTGGAATGTCCCTCTAAATCGTTGCTCTTTGAGTTGTGTTTGGGTGATAGTTCTTTTTGTCTGGGAGTTTTTTCATAAGTTTTCTGCTGATTTTTTGTTTCTACATCCTTTGTATACATTTCCATATATTCTATCATCTGCCAATCCGTTAACATGGAACTCAGTTCTCTATTGAATTCTTTTAAGCGCGGTATGTGGCATTTCAAAAGGAAATGCATTTGATTGTGCCCAATTATATTTCTTTTATCGGTAGAACCGTTTAATGAAACGCCTAAATGACTGTTTTTATGCTTCGTTATATATGATTTTATGCCAATATGCATTTTTTTAACCTTATAATACATCATTGTTGCATATTTGTTAAGCTTAAAAACATTCTGTCTTTTCTGTTTTAGTATTTCTAGCCACTTCTGTATATTTTCCAATGATGAATACAGATTCTTATTTTCGCTTTTTTCATAATTCTCCGGCAGTGCATCCATATGTATCTGCAAGTGCCCAGCGCAGTCTATACCATCTGTAATATTAATTTCAGGATTTTCGGATATACTGTCTAGATCACTATACTTAATTATATGGTACTTTATATCACTTTTTATATAATTTAATACATCTGATTTTAATTTTTTTATGGCTTCTATATCAATGGTTTCAATAATTGTGTAGTTATCTTTCTCTATTTTTTTGCATAATTTCTCCAGATCACATAGATAATTTCTGATTGTATCAATTTTATAGAAAGCTTGATCTTTTTTCATTATATTTTCATAATATATATTGTGTCTATTATTTGCCAATCTTGCTATTAACCCGAAAAGACTTATAAAATCAGTTTTGCTTAACATGTTTGGATACTCCTTAAACAGCTTCATAATAACCATGTATATTTCAGATGATAAAATAGGCAGTAAACCCCCGGATTCTTCGAATCTATTCTGGCTTAGATCCGGAGTAATATCATTTGAATTATTTATATCCCAATAGACCCCTCTGTTTTCGTAAATATTCGTATAGTCTGCCTTGCTTTTATCTAAGCATCTCTGAATTTGTTTTTTTGCTTCCAAAATTGCTAAAGTATCCTGTTTATATTCTGCTGGCAAGGCGCTGTTTATGCCTTGGGGGTCTTTCTCTATTTGAAGCATTTCTAGTGCCGGCAAAGCATCCTTAATAGCATCATATGCTTCCTTCATTTCCATGCCTGTTATAATGCTTAATCTTCTGACTTTTCTCATAATGGGAATAGAAATCATCCTTTGAACATCATTTGTAATGTCACAGTTGGTTAGTCTAATATACTGCACAGAAGTAAAGTATTCATCCAATATATTGCATATAAGATGTATTGCACTGGCCGAGCACTCCCAGAAAACAAACTCAGTTTGCAAAAAGTTTCTTTCATACTCTATCCTGTGAATTTTCATATAAGCTGCGATTTCTGGAACTTGTGACCGAGAAGTTGGTAATTTTGCAAGAACTTCTACTGTTGGGAATATTTTCTTGAATACATCATTTAAGTTTACAGTTACATTTTTAGGAATGCTGTTTTCATCACATGTCAGAAGCGATGCATTAAAGTTCGGATATTTTACCTGAAATTCAACGTTTAAGTCATCAGTTCTTTTTTTTAATTCACATTCAAATTCGTGCATTTCAGATAACTCTTCGCTCTTTACATCAAAGTCTTCATCTGAAGGCTGTATTGGCTGCATAGAAACCTCGCTGGTATTGCGCTGATTATTATGCATTTCTAGCAACTTTAAAAGAATATTCCGAATAGATTTTGAATTGGCGCACTCTGATATTATGTTTTTTTCTATCATAAACATAAAGAAATCAATCCATTTGAATAATTTGTAGTTAATTTCTGCTTCTAACTGCTTTGCCTTTTCTACCATGCTGATCATAGTATATGTTCTATAGCTTTTCCATTTACTACTATTAATAATATCTGCCATTTTAGAAATGTTACTACGTATTTTTTTGTATGATATAATCATGTCATTCAATAGAATATCTTCTATTTCAATCAGACTGTACGTATCCCCTGAATTAGTTATAGGTAACTTCATCACGGCACTGTTAATTTCTAATATTGCATCTTCCCACTCATATATATTCTTTAAAGAACGGCTAAACTCACACATGTACATCTGGTTCTGCGTAGGTAAATCAAATTCTGCATGCTTGAGTATTCCATTGCCTGGGGAGTTGGCTTTCATTAGTTTGACCCCAAACCTCTGGAGTAGTCGAATAAGCTCATTCCGTGTGTTCATACTTATTGGCGTGTAGTTAGATGCCTGCACACAGTTAAAAGTATGTGTTTCTTTAAATATGCAATCCATTAGCGCGTCTTTTGTTTTTTGCATTAAATGTGCGAATTTTTCTTTCTTTAATAGATGCAAGGAGTTATTTTGTATAACACTCTTGTTCTGCCCACATGGCATCCAAAAAAGTATATTTGGTGTCTCCTGTGTTTTTTTCTGAATTGTTTTTAGTTCTTGTTTTATGCTATACTTAATAAGCCTCTCATTTAGTGTTGCCTGCGCCCTCTCTTCCATCTTCTTTACTTTCTCTTTTTCTTGTTGCTCTTTCAAAATCAGTTCTCTTGCTTCTTCTAGTGTTTTCGCAAAAATCGGATGCTTTTTGGGATGAAGCTCAATCTGATCCATCTTTTTGTATTTATATTTTTCTGACTGTGTTTTTTTAGAAGAAACCCTTTCAGAACTTCCTTGCGCAGGAAGAGTTTCTTTTTTTTATTTTCTATTTTTTTCTTTAATTCCTTTTTAATGCTTTCTAATCGAGAATTGTACTCCTTTCTTGCTGCATATAAATCACTCAACCGCATTTCATTTTTTTCATCCAATATTAAGCTCTTTAGGCTTGTATAAAGAACCTCCTGTGAATACTTTATCTCATCTTGTGGATCTTTGTTAAGACTCAAGTTGTAAAAATGAAATGTTTTGGTTCTTATCTTAAGCATTGCACGAATCAGTTTCTCTAGTCTTTTATGCCCTATTTCCACAGTATCTCTACTTTGTGCATTTGATGTAACAAATATGTTCTGGTGTGGTGTGTATGCATTTGGCTTTAGGTTCTGTAATTTTTTCATAAATTCTGTGCTGTACTGGGCTATGTCCAGTACCTTTACTTCTTTATTTCCATTTGTGTTCTCTGCTAATTTCTCAAAGTACATTATACTTTTCTCATCATAAGTGTTTGCAGTGCTCCAAAACTCCTTGTCTTGTTCAGTGCACTGAATACATCCTATTAGACAAAGCAATAGTACTATTCTAATTATTTCTGCTTTCTTCATTCTTATCATAATAATCTTACGCATAAAATATTTTTATATTTCACCAGAATACACAAATTAATTAAAAACCATTAATATTACCATAAATAGACATAAAACAATCAGATAATTAATAATAAAGTTAATTAAACATTTTAATTTGGTTATTTGGTACAATTACTCATTTGTAATACACTTTTAGTTTCTGTGCAGTTATATACAATCCCATAGTTCTCTATAATTAGTATTTAAATCGCCAAAAGTATTTGTACTGCTAATCATTCTATGCTAAGACTAGTATAATTGGTTTATTTTCATAGCATCTGAATATTTAATGTTTATACCAATATAAAGTGAATTTTGGGTTATATTACTCTAAGAAACCAACTACTATGAAGTTGAAATGAGTATTCAAGCTTGAAATTAAATTATAATTTAAATAATAATAGCATAACATGACGGAATCTTAACCCAGAGACACTGAAGTTATATAATACAGAGTGTAAACGCACAGTGTGAATTAAATAGTGTTAAAGTCATCTAATAGTTAAGTCTAAGAAGTAACTTAAAATCATATTATAATTAATACTGGATAAGAATTATTCAATTAGATTTATTTCTGGTCATTGGTTTTTCTTAGTCTTTGCGCTTTCTTAAGACATTTATTTGCATGTCTTTGCGAGCTTTTTGAAAGAAGAGGCTTTTCTTTGTTTTTCATTTTTTGTTGACGGATTGCTCTGTGTCTTCTATCAATTTCTTCTCTAGTTAATGGCACTTCTGGCTGTATGGTTTTTTTAGTGCTAATGCTCTCTGGCTCACAGAGAATATGACCATTCTCAATTGATTCAGCACTATCTTTAATGGACAGATCTAATTTACTACTTAAACCATTAAAAATGTTCTTTTTAACCGTATTCTGTAATGGAGAATTCTGTGTATTTCCAAGTGAATTAGTCATTTCCTTGCTCTTGAGGATTATTGTTTGACTGTTTGTCTCTATTAATCCTAAATTCATTTCAGTGGGGATTGTCTTGTTCTGAGGTGTTCTATTATTATGTGCTGGGATTAAGCCGAGCATATATAATCTGTAAGATATTCCAAATGCCCGGGAAATGTTTAACCCACCTACACTTACAAGTACATTGCATGCGTTGTAAATTACTTGTAATGAGTGTACATCCCTAATGCACAATATAATAGGATCAGGAAGAAAAAAAGTGGATGGCACAAATCCAACTATTCTGTCTTCTGACTTATCCTTTTTACTATGTATCGTATCCAGTAGTACTACTTCTCTTGACTGAGTATTTGGTATGGGCAGTGCTTTGTCTACAGTACTTTCTATATCTGTAACATTTCCTAGGTTTTCTAGCTCCTCTGACTCTGTATCCTCTGCATGATCCTTTCCCACACACGGTAAAACTGTCTTAGCCACAAGTACAACACCTTTCTTGACTGTTCTTACAGACCGACGTGTCGCTGACCGGACACCTCTAGGAATGGTTTCACTCACTATTTCTTTACTTTTGACGGCAGCTTTTTTAACATGTGTTGCCACTGCCTTGGCACCCTGTACGCTTACAGTGAATATTCTTTTAGACCCGCGTATTATCTGCTTTATGGTAAAGCGCGTTCTACTCCTAGAAATATTCTCTGTGCTTCTCTCTGAGTCAACTTGATCTTGCATCATGATGTCAATAAACACATTTCAGATTTATCCTTTTTTCTAAAACACGTCCTGGTTTCTGTGTTTTCATTACTATGTAACCTATGTTTACTATATTATGTTTATGTTTCAAAAATATTAACACATTATATTATAAATAATATACACGTATAGGAGTATTTATACAATGTGTATAATATACACATATTTTTTATTATTATAAGTTTAAAGAAGTAATAAATTATTTATACTACTATGTGTAAAAAATATTTATTCAGTGCAGTACTTAAAACATAATGCACATAAAATACACCACATTATAAAATACTTTATATGCTATGATTATAAAGTTATTCACACATACTACCACCTGAAAAATCAAGCAAATAAATATTACTTGGTGACATTAGAGAAGAGTTCTTATATTCAGAAGTAGTCCAAATAATATTAAATATTCAAATATGGGCAAACAATTATTTATACACAGTATACAGCACAGGTAATAATCTAAATTATTACAGATCACAGTATATAATGTTCTTTTGGAAGGGTTAAAAATAACTAACAGGCGTGGCGTAATGGTAACGCGTCTGACTTCGGATCAGAAGATTGCGGGTTCGAGTCCCGTCGCCTGTGTTTTTTATTCTTCTTTATTTTTATTCTTAATGGCCTTTATCAACACAGACAGACTCTCTAACATTCTCTCAAATATGGAAGAGAACACGTCCAACCTAAAATACGCCATAAAGAATAATATTTCAGAAATACTAAAGAAAGAGACAAACAATGAAATAGAATCACTCAAAGAAGAAATAAGAGCATTAAAGGCGAGAGCTACAGCCGAACCCAGAAATTCAGAAATTGAAAAATGCAAAGAGAACACAGAAATATCAAAGGAAGTGGAGGAGTTAAGAGAAGAATTAAGAAATGAAAAAGAGAAGTACAGAAATTATAAAGAATGGGCTGAGAAAAAGATAAAATCACAGATGAACAATTTATTAGAGCTGAAAGGGACAATCCGGGTTATTACCAGAATAAAGCCATTTAATTCAACTGAGAAAGTATTATTCACAGATGAAATGATAGAATTCCCGCATAAGTCATTTACTAGTCATTGTAATAGAGTATTCTCACCCGGCACCACACAGAAAAAAGTATTTTCAGAGATTGAGGATCTCGTATACTCAGTTACACAGGGATATAATGTGAGTGTATTGGCGTATGGACCCACGGGCAGTGGCAAGACGTATACAATGGAGGGAAAGTCTGAACTATCATGCAGTAAAAAATTATTTGTAGTAGGGAGTGGCATAAGCGGATTCTGCAGTGAGTGCGAGTGTAATTCCTGCATAGAGAAGGGTGTTGTATATAGGAGTGCAGATGTTTTAAGTAAAGAATTAAAAAGGCTTGAAGGATTTGGGTATACGCATCAAGTGAAGATCACTGGTGTTGAATTGTATAATGATAAGGTGATTAAATCAGTAGAGAGCATGGGTGTCGATGAGATTGAGAAGGTTTTTAAGAATGTGTCAAGTGGTAGAAAAATAAGCAGTACTGAGTGCAATCAGAGAAGCAGTAGAAGTCATCTAATACTTACCATAAACATAGCCATAAGAAAAGAAACAGATCGGGCAATAGAGTATATTGAAGGGAGCCTTTGCATTGTAGACTTAGCAGGATCTGAGCGACTGAACCATTCTCTAGCAGAAGGTGATCGAATGAAAGAGGCTGTTGAAATAAATAAAAGCTTAAGCGCCCTGGGTGATGTAGTATATGCAATATCAAACAATACTCCGCATATACCGTACAGGAACTCTAAGCTTACCACTATGCTAAAATCAACACTTGGTTCGGGTGCAAAGACAGCTTTTATAATCAATGTAGACCCAGGGTCATCCATTGATGAAACAATCACTGCTTTACGGTTCTGTAATAGATTACAGGAGTGTAAATTAGGAAAGGCAAAGGTTACTTCAGTAGAAATAGTAAAATAAATTATGATATAACCAGAGACCATAAGAATTAATAAAAACCCATAAATATTAACTGTTATTATTTATAATTAGTGTAATATACTACCGCATATGGCAATATATTCATAAATAAATCAACATTTTCGAACTGATCATTTATTTGTATATTACAGTTGTTATAAACAACAACAAGCATAATTATAACATTATACAAGTCATTTGATTCTTGCATAAACATACTGCTATCTTAAATAATAATTTAGTCTATAAACACAGAGTATAGCTAATTCTAGTTCACTAGAAAGTCTAAATTCAATACAAAGCAGAGAGTCAAATGAGAAAGTTAAGCATGCTTTCACACAAATAGACGATTAGAAAACGCATAGAGACAATCGTAATACAATACTCAAAGAACTATATGCCCATGTTATTTCTAATTATAGTCCCAGAAACAAATTTCTAAATCTCTTAAAGGGCATTAAATAAAAATAATACTCTCAGTGTATTCTAAATGTAAATATTAGATGTGTTTGTGTATAGCCGATTTATTTCTATTATCTAATAATGATAATGTTTTAAGCTGTAGCTTATCTAAAATGGCTGGGTATTTGTTATAGTTATATAATACAGACTAAAGACACACTTCTGTTTTATACCGTGTTTTGATAAAATAGTTTGATATTAACTGCTCTATTTTTTTGGTTTTTGCTCTATTTTCATAATATTTCCATTTTTTACAAAATGAAGTTCTTTATAAGAAGAATCTTTTTCAATAAAAGTGCAGTAAGATTCCAATGCTTTTTTCTCATCATCGTTTTGGGCAGATGTTTTAGTTGGTGTTAGTTTAATCTTAGATAGAGTCATTTCTTTAAGAGTAGGCATTTTGCTATTAAACATAACAACTCTGTACATATCCATTGGAGTGGAAGGAAATATGGAAGAAACTGTGATTTTCTTAATCTTATTGTGCTCTGCATACTTAAATAACCTATCAGAAATCGTTTCCATCATTCCACAATCATTCGATATCATAAAGCGATTAATCAAATTGATTTCTTTTATAGTTGTTTCCCATGTGAATGGAAAGTCAATGCATTTAAGATAATCAATTACATCTTGAATCTCTGAATCACCAGAAGAGAGCCACACGTTAATTCGGGTTCTTAATAAGCTAAATCTAAATTTAGTTGGCATTTGCTTACCATCCAATGATTTAGGTGCTAATTGAATATTCATAATGTTATATAAATTATTATCTTCTTTGCTTTTTAATTTACATAGTCCTAAATCATTGTATAACTTGCTGTCTACATTAACCAATTTAGGAGAAATAGACTCACCAAGTGCTTTGTTTTTTCTTACTATATCGTCTGACTTGTTTAATTCTATTTGTTTCTGTGCAGAAGAGTCTTCTGGCTCGGCTGTTATTCTTAAGTATTCTTCTGGATTCTGCTTAATTCTATCCAAGTCTTCTATTTTAAATTCATTTGTATACGAATAGAAAATATTATTCATAGTTAAAATAGAAAGTTTATCCATTTTTCTAAGAAAGGAGAAGTCTGGCGAACCTTCAAAAACTATATTTTGGAGAACAAATTTGAATACTTCACTCAGCTTTGTTATATTGTTAAGTGAAGACGTGCTCATAAAGTCAATGTTGCTTATAGATATTTCACTCATCCCATTCATTGCGTCTAATCCAATTAACAATGGATCTATGCACTTTCCATCTATTCCATCTATTTCTACAATAAATATTTTTGATGTGCCTAGATCTAACTTAGAATCAAAGTCTATAACTGTGTTCTTGCAAATATTCAACCTGATTATATCTGAGCGCTCGCCTAATTGGGCTAATGTACTAGAGCAAATGCGGGTTTCGGCGAGTATAAGTGTGATTATTTTATCAAAAATACTATATTTGTTGAAAATAGAAGCATTTGCTGCAAATTCAAATCCTTCAAGTGTTAAAGAATACATGCTTATTGATGGATTTCCATAATATCTTAGCAGAGCGTGCTCTATGATTGGATTCTGCTGAACTTCTTTAGGATAAGAAATAATAACTGTTGTTTCTGTATGGCTCGTAATTAAATACTGATGTGATGTCTCTCCATTAGCAACGCTGTTTAGCACTTCCCATAGTGTGATTTGTAGAAAAGATTTGTTTATATAAAAATCGTCTTGTTTTTTAATTACAACCACATCTTTGTTCTTAATAATTGCATTAATAATTTCTGTGTCATTAGAATAGTTTACTTTTGGTAAGTCTGGGTTTAATTTAGCAATAGCATTTAGCATACCAACCAGTTCTTTTTCTTCTGCTGTGTCACCATCTAGATTAGAACCAATCATTTCAAATGATTTCTCTATACCCTCTAAATGCTCTTCGTTCTTTACTTCTTCTTCCACCAAAATAGCCGGTGTAGAACCAGAGCTCTGGCCTGCAGCAGGTGGTGTGGTGGTGGAAACTGCTTTTATCTCCTCAATGGATCTAGATTCATCATTAGAATCAATTATTTCAAATGATGATGCATTAGACCCCTCTTCTTCCGCAGAAATACCTGATGTAAAATTAGATCTCTGGTCTGCAGCAGGTGGCGTAATGATGGTTGCAACTGCTTTTTCTTCATCAACTGGCACAGGCCCGTTAACAGGATCAATTATTTCAAATGGCGATGCATTAGACTCTGGATGCTTTTCTTCCTCTTCTTTCTTTTTCTTTTCTTCTTCTTCTTCTTCCTCATTTATACGAGCAGTCTGTTGTAAGCCATTTTCTTTTTTTAACTTTGGTGAACTGCTAGAGTCTTTTTGTTCCTCCTTTTCTTTTTCTTTAGTTATACTAGAGGCAGCATCTATTCCTCTAGATAGGGATGTAGTCTGCTGGCCATCCAAGCCTAATGCAGCATGTGAAGTAACAGGCTCTGCACTTAATTGTGTTGGTTTATGTGCATAAACAGTAGTGGGTTCTGTATATTTTGGCGAAGAATCTATAGAAACTCTTTCGTCATTAATATCATCCTCTAACCGTGGATACAATCTGCTTCCACTGGCTGTGGATTTTGTAGGTGCAGCTGCCTTTTTAGCCAAATCATCTTTCTCAACATTTACTGGGGACTGGATACATTGAGTTTTCTCTTTTGATTTTTTAGAATCCAAATCGTGAATATTACCATGATTTTCTTTAGTAGAAACATTGCCCAATGACGATGTACTGTTTAAAGTGCATCTATTGGATACTCCTACTTTAGAAGTGGCTAATGTTGTCGGCACCACTTTATCATCAATGGGTTTATTAACCATATAAGGATGTGGATTGATAGTAACAACACCAGGCGCTACTATTGGTGTAGCTTGTTTTTTGTTCTGTTGTGTGGATGGATCGAGGTTTTTTTGAGCACTGGTAGATGGCTTTATTATAGTATTTGCTGTGCTATCATACGCCTCGCTGCTAGTTTCACTTTCACTTTTACTTATCTCTTCTCTTATTTCATATACAACTATTCCAATTGCAATCAAGATGCATAGTAGGAATATAATTAATAATATCTTAATGCTTCTCATTATAAATTAGTGATTTATCAGACTATTTATACTTTTGTCATTTAAATAACTGGTTATTTTCTATTTAAATTAAACAAATGATATCTTCAATTTATAACTTCTATGATTATAGCACCACAGTAGTTATG